CTTCTTCAGTTTGTCCGTGCTCGTTCTTTTTTAATAAGAGTAATAACAGGAAGAAGAACAATTGTTTTCTCCTACGGTGCGCGAGGCGTAGTTACGTGGGTAGTAGCTGCACTATTTTGGCACTTCATCTATCCGAAGACGACTTATTAAAAAAGAAGAAGAAAAATAAGAGACATCAGGAGGGAGAGAAGAGCAGAATATATATATATATATATATATCTTCTTCAGTTTGTCCGTGCTCGTTCTTTTTTAATAAGAGTAATAACAGGAAGAAGAACAATTGTTTTCTCCTACGGTGCGCGAGGCGTAGTTACGTGGGTAGTAGCTGCACTATTTTGGCACTTCATCTATCCGAAGACGACTTATTAAAAAAGAAGAAGAAAAATAAGAGACATCAGGAGGGAGAGAAGAGCAGAATATATATATATATATATATATATATCACAACAAAGAAGTTGAAGTACTTCTTACATCCAGCTCTATTGTTCTCCCGCCTGCTCGTTGGTGCGCTCTCTCTCTCTCTTTATAATCTTCTTTCTCCCTTTTTTTTTAAACAGTTTGTTTTACGTCGTTTGTTGTCTTCACGATTCTTTGCGTGTGGTTCTGCTTTGCGTGTTTCTTCGTCCTCTAACAGCACGCTTGTATATGGCTTTCTTGCTTCTTGATCTTTTCCTATTGCTTCTTTGACGTTTTATTTAATTTCTTCTCTGGGTAATGATTAAGCCGTTCAGGCTCCCTTTTCTTCTAAAAATAAGACAATAATTGGTACTTGCAAATAATATTTTCAGTGTCTTCTCTTTCTCTCTCTCTTTACATCCTTTTATTTATATATATTTGTTTTGTATGTATGTGTGATCTCTTGTGTCACCTCTGCCTTTGCTGTTGTTTCTTGTTTCTGCCTGTCGTCTTCTTTTACTCCCACCTCACAACATAATCGACCTCTCGTTTGCTTGTTATTATCTATCTCTCTCGATCTCTTTCTCTCTTTCTCGAATCAAAACACCCATCTCGCTTGTACATATCACTTCTTTATTCATTTGCTTGCTTTCTCTTCTCTTTCCTTTCCTTCTTCTTCTTTTGGTTTCTGCCGTGTGGAGCTCTACTCCTTTGGTGTTTGTTTCTTCTGTTTGTTTCCTTATTCCTACTCCAGTCGTCAAGCCACTCGTTTAATATCTGCCCCTGTTTTTCTCTTTCAAATCTTCTTCTTCTTCGTCTTTCTTTTCCCTTTTTGCTTACCGCCTCTCTAGCACGATCGGCACGCTGCTCTGCTCGTTAGCGAAGGTGCCTTCTGTTGCTCTTTCTTCCTGATCAGGGAAGGGAGCCATCGAGAACCCACCTGCTCTCTCTCTCTCTTTCTTTCTTCTCTGTCACACACAGGCACACGCTTTGTAAAGTACTCTCCCATTTCGTCCTCAGACGTTGGGAAGTACGGAGGTTTGGTCTGCCGTCTGTCATCCTTCCTGTCAGCCTCAGACCGCTTTTTTGCTTGCCTTTTTTTCCCGCTGTCACGGATCACCTGTTGTTGCCGCTTTCCCTGTTCCCTTGGAGCTATTATTATCCCTGTTACTATTATTATTATAGCTAGAGAATACTCTTTTCCCTTTTTTCTTATTTAACAGTATTGTGCAGGAATGAATGCCTTAATACAGACAGAGCAGGCGGAGGAGTATATTGCCCGCTTCGCGCTGCGCCAGCTGGTCGAGGAATGGCTGTCGCGAGTGGGCGGGGAGTGTCCCGATGATCCGTATCAGTACCTCATCGACGAGGCCGACGACCAGCGTCGCAGCGGAGGCGGCATCGTTACCTGCCCCAACAAGTGGTGCAACATGACGATGCCCGCCTCGCGCTTCGCCGCGCACCAGATGACCTGCAACGACTCCACGAGCTGGGTACGCTGTGTCCGCTGCAACGTGCGCGTCGACGCAGCGAAGCTATCGCAGCACCGCCTGTACTGCAAGCTGGAGCGCTGCGCCTTCTGCGGAGAGATGGTGCTGCCTCGCATGCTGGCCCTGTGTCCGTATCGCACCATCGCCAAGGCAGAACAGGACCGACAGGCCGCCTTGCACCGTCGGGAGCGGCGCGTAGAGAAGGAAGCCATGCGTGGTGGGGTGCCGCTGATCATGAGCGGGCCGTCTACCGCTCGCGGGGCGGGGACACGGCCTCCGAGCACTCTTCCTGCTTCAGCACCGTCACCACCACCAGCACCACAGCCGTCGTGCTCGTCATACGCGCCCGTCATTGATTCCTCCGCAGAGCCGCCTTCGCAGGTCTCCCTCTCCGCCGCCGAGACAGCCGCCGTCGAAGTCGCCAGCAAAGACACAGAGGCGCAGCCGATTATGAAGACGCCGTCCACCGCGTCGGCGTCGCTGCTGCAGAAAAGCGTGTCGGGCTGTGTACTGTCGTCACGGACGGAGCAGGACGGCGTGGACGGGCCGTCGTTGTCTGTCACTGTTGCCGTGCCTCCCGGCGATGACGAGCCGAAGCGACGAGGGAAGAATGCCGATGCCACGAACAGCGGCACACCTGACGCGGTAGATAACGGCAGCAGCGAGTCCTCCGTCCCCCGACCGTCTTTCCCCGCCTTCCTCGCGGCCGACATGGCGGTGCGTGAGACGTTGAAGAACTACCCCGACGCCTTAGTGCCCGCCCTTTCCACCATTCAAACTATCTGGCGCCGCAACATGACGATGCACCTCTTCCGCCAACAGGTCTTCAGCGCCGTGTGGCAGCGTATGGACAGCGCACAGGAGGGCGCGACGGGGCGAAGCAAGGACACGGCGGCTCTGCGCCTCGTGGACCACAACCTCCGCACCGATCGCCGGCTCAGCTCCATCGACGTCGGCAGCGGCCATGGCAGCAGCAGCCACCGACGCGGGTCTGCAGCGGTGGTGGCGGCGACAGGTGTGTCATCGGAGTTGAGCTCGAGCGCGCTGAGCGGCCCGCTCAAGGACAGCGACTTCTACGCGGACGAGGAGCCCATCCCGTCGTTTCAAAGCGACCCCGTCTGCGTCTGCAGCACCCCCCTCAACAGCGGTGGCTTCATGCGGGTACCGGACTTGGAGGCCCTCATGCGGCACTGCCAGGGCCGTGAAGTACTGCAGTTCTCCGTCGTGCTGAAGATCGTGCGCGCCGCCACGAAACTACTGCAACGGCGCCCGCTTGTGCAGCACATCGCCATCCCGGCCAACTCCTCCTTAATCATCGTGGGAGACGTGCACGGGCAGATGAAGGACTTAGAGTACATCATCAACAGCATGGGACTCCCCTCGGCGGAGCGGTTCTACCT